TTCCTTCCTTCCTTCCTTCCTGTCTGTCTGTCTCTGTGTGTGTGTGTGTGTGTGTGTGTGTGTGTGTGTGTGGGTGAGTGTGTGTGTGTGTGTATAGGAGCGGTGGGTTTTCAAAAATTTTGGAACCTCTTCTGTAGGTGTGGCCTGCTTTCCGGGTCCACTGGTGGAACCTCTTCTAACCGGTTCGGTAGATTTGATGAACCGGTTCTACCGATTAGGTGCAAACTGGTAGGAACCCACCTCTGTTGCTAAATGTGGACTACCTGTACTTGTATACTGTACAAAGCGTGCATGTACCCCGAAGCACGTCCCTGAGTAGAAGAAGCCGGAACCCACCCCTGATTCAGGGTGTGTGTTCCATTCTGTAATACGTTTGAAGCTCTCATGTGTGATGTGGTGAATGTCAGAAGGGGGCTGAAGGTAGGCATCAATACACTTGTAATTAAAAGAAGAAAGTCTGCTAATCAGCCTATATTGAACCAGAAGCCATGAACAATATCTTTCCTGGGCTATTGGTCTCATTTAATATTCACAAGCCATGTCATTTGGCGATGTCTATATTATTTTCCCTTCAAAGTATACCTGTCCTTTTTTTTTGTTCTACTTTGACACTGTCTCTATGCTTTGCTTCGCTCTGAACATGAAAGCATGAATGCCCTATGCTGTTTGAGTCATCTGCTCCACCTGAAATTAGCATTCCCCTGTGTCAGCCAGCATATTTTTGCAGAACGCAGCATCGTAGTAATGTTGACAGGTTAGGAAGCAAAACAAAAAACAACAGCATAGAACCAACATGCCAACTAAGGCAGATGATATTCATTGTGATTCGTGTCAGGGCTTAGATTAATTATTATGTTTGTGTAGTGTGTTGGTTAAGTGGTTGCTTGATTGCTGCTCCGAAGATTGATTAATTATTGCATTTACCTTGTGGCTTCTGTGGGAAAACCGCCACTTGTATTTTGTCCATTAAAGCTCAGCATTGGGAAGGGCAACACATTCATAGCTGCAATTACCGTACATCAATCCATCTCGCAAATTGTGTGGTCTTTGGAGGTTTGGGGAACCAGAGAACCACCTGAAACCATTGGATACCATACTGATGACTCTTGTAATTCTCCTTGTTTTACGGTACACTATTCCATCCAGTATAAAATCCTTGTTTTTGTCATAACTTGCCGTATTTTTCAAAAGTATAAGACGCACCAAGATTTTGAAGAGGTAAATTTAAAAAAAAAAATGTCTTTGCACTCTGCAGACCCAAATCCTCTGCACGCCTCATTTAAAAAAAAAAAAAAA